TATGAAACGAGGACTGGCAATGACATCATTGTCTGATGATATTTTGTCGATTACGAACGGTACATGTTACATGGTGAATTCTGGCAAATGCAAATCTGTTATTTGTTTGGATTGGTGTGAGATTTGTGACGGTTAGTAGATCTTCTTTGTTTTAATTTTTCTATTATTTAACCCTATTACAATTTCGAATGAAAAAGCGCACTCACTATAAGCACAATGAGGAATACATCTACCGATAAAAAAAGTGATGTATGCACGACTTTTTCTGCACTAGACAATTTCTTAATGATACTCTTTTGATGACTACGGGGCGATGAAATATTGCATCCACGGGGCCGAATGTTTTTTATACGCTCATAGTTTTTGCATAAAACGATATGTATTTTAACTATTCAGTTTCATAGTATGCTACTATATTCCGTTCAAAAAGTCTGTGCGTGTGATTGTTTTTGAATAATTCAAGTACCCAAACAGCTAGAGATCTGGGGTTTTCATCAGTCCAATGAGGTGATATGGGGATGTCTTTTTCTCCGATTTTGTATAGAACGAAGTCATTTTTAAATCAAGTCTTTTTTACAAAATCTCGAAAAAATGTACGAAAATATTCTGTCGTTGAGATGAAATTTTTAACAAAAACTAAGAGAATTCAAGAGAAATTTGTATTTTTTGAGAGAATCAAGAGAGAATTTTATTTGCTCAATATTCGAAGATGTGAGAATAATCGTTCCAATTATATCTCAAGTTATTGTTCTGAAGTTCCTCTATCCAGGTCAATTATTAAAACCAAAATCTCATCGAAATAGTAGACCGTTATGGGTGTTGTTTTCCAATGTTTTGAGGCAATGATTGATATTAAGATGAATTCGTCTTGTGCAATATCGGAGAAAAATATGTCCACATGTCATCTCCTTCGACTGATGAAAACCGCAGATCTCTAGTTGTTTATGTTCTTGAGTTATTCAACAAACAGTCACACGCACGGAGGATGTGGGTGTGGGTGTAATGAATACCCATACCCACACACCCATACCCACACCCACACACCCACACCACCCACACCCACACTCACACCCACACCCACCCACACCCACCCACACCCACACTCATGTGTTGTCATTTATCCGACCAAGTATTCTCCTTTAGTAGGTAAGCGACTTGCTAAATGGATTGTAGGATGTGTACTCATATGCGTGGCTTTCATATGTGCACCTGAATTGATCTTTCGTCGTATAGTTATTGATGCATATGATGAGCGAGCCTGGTGTGTACTTACACTGAATGCTAAGTGACGAGGTCTGTTAACATTATACTCAACCTTGAATATCTTCTTGTTTTCACTGGCATTATTCATCAACATGATTACTAGTGTACTCATTATTCGAGGAACACTTCTCGTAAACGAACGAACCCAATTAAAAAACACCACTTCTGACGTTGCTGGTATGAATAAATCCTTTAGGAGCCACTTTCAAGCTATCAAAATGCAAATCAGTAAACACAAACATATACTTATTACACCAATCGTACTCAGCTTGCTTGCTTTACCACGTCTTGTGTTTACTTTTAGTTTTGTATGCACGAAAATTGATCGACAACCTTACATCAGTTTACTTGCCTACTGTGTCGCTTTTCTACCATTCAACGCCATACTCTTTGCATTCATTCTACCATCGCAAGTCCATCGAGCAGCACTAGCTTTATTTGTCAAGCAGATTCAAACTGAATGCGTTCGAAAATTGCTTTCTGCTCGTTAAAACACAATATTATTGGAACTTTGATGTGTAATTAACACTTCTGACTTTTAATGCAATCATCGATCAAGCATCTAACGATAACCGAAAAAAGATAATAATCTTAGACAAGTGCACTGAGAAACATTTGATACTCGATAAGCTCTAGTTTTTATGAGTGTGAAGGGTGCATATATAGGGCGTCTGAAAAATAGCTCCCTATTTTAAATTCTTGACTAGGGTGTGGGTGGGTGTGGGTGTGAGTGTGGGTGTGGGTGGTGTGGGTGTGTGGGTGTGGGTATGGGGGTGTGGGTAGGGGTGTTGATTAGACCCACACCCA